TGTGTGTGTGTGTGTGTGTGTGTGTGTGTGTGTGTGTGTGTGTGTGTGTGCGTACATATAAATTGCTGGTCCTTTTGGTTATGGAAGTTGACTTTTATAATCTATGGTTTTCTTATGAATTTCAGATTCATATGCTTTAGATTTTTTCTCTGCCTTCCTCTCTATCTATCTATCTATCTCTTTCTCTATCTATCTATCTCTTTCTCTGTCTATCTATATCTTTCTCTATCTATCTTTCTTCCTCCTCCTCATCGTCTCCTCTTCCTCTCCCTCTTTCTTCTCTCTTTCCTTACTGTCAGTGGTGGTTCTTCCTGTCGACGCAAGTTTCCTTTCTCATTCTTTGACTTCATTCTGAAAAAAATAATAATAAAGATAAATTTTAAACTTATATGTTTGTTGATTAAATTACGGATTAGAAGAATGAAAAACCTAAATCTAATAAATTTTAAATCTGAATTCTTTTATATCAAAAATACGTACAGATAAATTGCGATAATCTAGAACAATCTTGTTAAATAAAGCAAAGAAAATTACACAGAACGAAATTTAATTAATAAATAAAAAACAAGTCAAAATAATAAACTTTAATAAACAATTAAATGCAATTTTTCGAAATACCTTCACAAAATCGTTTGCGAGGATTTTGATATCGATGGATTGCTTTCACTCTACTGCCCAAATATATCGAAATTATAACCCATTATCGACCATCTCGACCCCGATATCAGGAGAGGACATGGAAGGTACTAGGGAAATTGCAAAGATATGAAAAATATACACAGAATCATTAAATATAGTGTATAATGCAAGAGGCTTGAGCACCCTGCAACCCTCGTCCAGGAGAACGAAGAATCTGCCACGTATTCACGGCAGGAGAGAACATACGACCGATATGTGGAAGCTCCCGATGTCGAGTCTGTCCCACACTCTCTCCTGCAGAGGATACGTGGAGGATTCTTTGGTATCCTGGGCGGAGGTCGAGGGGCGGCAGGAGGAGGGGGCGTCATTTGACTATATGTTCACCAGTTCTCTGCCTCTTATACGTAATTTAGCCCCATAGTTCCCCTGGTACCGAGCATGCCATCCCCCTGCTATCGAGGCCGTGATTTAGGGTATGAAGGAGAGGGTAGTACAGACTGAGAGGAATCCAATGGTATCAAAATCGTCGTGATCAGTTAGGTGAAAGTATGCCGGAAAAAAATTGCCCAAACAAAATTTACATTACTGACAGCCCAATCAAATCCTTCTATCGACACGACACAAAACGACTCACAGAGAAATTGCCCCAAGGGAGCCGATGGCAACGACCGCCACGACCACGCCGACGACAGAGATGACGATGACAACCTTGTCGTCTTTCGGGGGCGGATCTGGGGGGGAGGAGAGAGGTTTATAACGGTTGATAAAGGTTAAAAGAAGAGTGTTTATCATGGTCTTTATGAAGGTACTTGGTAAACTATGCGATCTGTGCTATCATACGGTCGGTTTGTTATTATTCCCGACCTAAAGAACATTCATTATACAGGCATATACATAGATATAAATGCATATATATCATTCTAGAAATACATATCTAGTAAGTAGATAGATAGGTAAGGGTATATCTAACAGAGAGGTAGCAGATATATATTTATTTCTATGTATATGTATGTTTAATTCATCGGGTTGGGCCTCGCAAACTTTTAACGAACTGGACGACGGTGGATCGGTAGGGGCAGTGTTGACATTTTCGCGCTGTTTCCGCTAACTCTAGCGAATTCGAATGTCAGTTTGGCGGGGAAAATTAAGAAATTCGCATGAGTAACTAGTGATTTTTTTCTTGTTAAATCTATTGGGAATTTTAAGGGCTTTACCAATAATGCAGATTTTTTAGGCACGCTTAGAGGATACTGAAAGGATCAGAAACAACATGGTACAATAGAGAGTTAAGCTTATAAATGCATTATTCGAAGACATATAGCAGTTGAAAAACGGAATAAATGAAGCGTATCGTACGTGGAGGAGAGTGCCAGGGCCCTCCAACAGAGCAAAGTAAGACAACAGCAATTTGCGAAGATGGAAACTCACCCGAAACGAAGAGCTCAGCGTCTCCAGACAGCAGAATTTCCTGGGTGTCGAGATTCTCACGTGACACAAGAACCCGGACCTTGTCACTAAGGTTGAAGTCAAGGTCGAGAGGCAATGGACCTAGACACAGCTTTTCCTCGACATCAGAAATGGATGAGTGAGAGGACTTCGACACCATCTGTACTTGCCGACCATTGGCATCCACCGCCACGAACTTGTTCACAATTTTTTCTCCTTCGTTTTGTTTTCTCTTTTCACGACTTTCCATAAAACACACGGTAAGACTCTTGTTTCTCCAGTTGTGGTCAGTGTCAGTTCTTTTATGTTTATTGCTGCGTGACGTTGGAAGAAAGACAAGACACTACATAGAGTATGCTATGCTATTCCACAAAGACCAGTCATACTGGTAGATTTTCTTTCCATAATATCCAAATTAAACACAATTATAAGAAAATCACAGTGTGGGTATTAGTCTTAAGAAAATATATACAATCATCTAGATATGAAAACAAAGAAATATAAATGGAGTGACAAATGATGATACAAAGAGCTATAAGGTACTAAGCGCACTTACTTTCCAGAACAGGCTGCATCCTCACTGAGGCCGAAACATATTTATTGTCACCTTGTACCCTCACACTTGCCGTATAATCTTTGTTCAAATTCAGCGGGAAAAAGTAAGCCAGGCACACTTTGCTGTCTTCAGGCTTTTCACCTCCACAGATCACTGAAGTGCTGTCGATTTTGCCATCAGTTTCAGAAACAATTTCGACGTCGTATTCCTGATTTTGCGAAGCTCGCCAACGGACTTCGATGGCGTCCAATGTCAGCTGTTGAATTCGAGTCTGGAAATCTGGAAGGAATATGTTTTTTTCTTTCTTTCTTTTTGTATGTGTGTTTTGTGACCTGATACCACCTCTAAGCGAATGTATATGAATTTATGTTATCGGCCCAAATGAAAGAAAATATGGTCACTTTACATAAACTGAAGAAAAATAATCACCTTCAAATTCCACAACGGTCGAGTCTTTCACAGTTGATTCGGAATCTAACGCCATCAGCAAAATCTTAAATTCTGTCACTTTTGGCTCAACCTTAAATGTGCAGGTCTTTGGAGACCGGCCTGTGATCTCACAGGTTAGCGGATTCGGTGTCAGATCCTCCGAGCTTGTGTAGAGTTTCGCTTCCATTGTGAGCGACGTTTCGGAAAAGTCAGCGGTGATCATCAGGTCCTCCTCAGGCACTCCGGTGAAACTGAGTTGAACCGACCGCTCGATCAGAGCTGTGAGAGGGGGAAAATTGTTGTTCAAACATCTTATCTATGGTCATATCAATTTTCTAAGGTTACAGCGGCAATGATTAGTGTTATATTGTACTCCTCCCATGTGGCTTTTGCGTTTCCCTTACCAACATGGTTACATTTTGATTCTTGGCGTAAACCTACACTCTGGCTGTATGTATGCTGCCGTCATGTCACACTGCTCGATATTCGGGGCGGCCATCCTGCAGACTTCGGGAGGCTCCAGGATGTTTTCTGGCTCCAAATAGTAGCAGACTGTGCTGGCTGAACACAGGAAGCCGTTCACTTTGACATCCATTTCTCCCGTCTCCACTTTGAGGGACTGGAGGGCCTCTGTCCCCACTTTCGTCATCCGAGGGAGCAATATATCTGGAGGAAGGTGGGAAGGAATGTGTCTTATGATGCTTGTGTTAGCCATGTCTCAATCATGATAGTAAGGAGCGCATTGACAAACAAAGATCAAGTAATGTTGAAACAAATAATAATCATATTGACAGTATGAATAACAACTCATGCTTGTGTTTAAGACTTTAGCATTACAGGTTTGTGGTACAGAGGTGAACAAGTTACATTGCAAAACCCAAGATAGAAATGCACGTGCCATTTGTACCAAGAAATTATACATTATTCTTTTACATGAGATGAATATTTTTTATGGGATAGAAGCTTCATTTAGGAAGATTTCATATTTTTGCAGCTGAAGCAATTAATAATGTGAAAAGTAGTGATTTCCCTGAACATCCTTCACCTTTTCCTCATGATGTGTTGGTGGTGGCACTGCACGGCGCACAAAGCGAGCGAAAGACCACAAAAAAAAAAAAAAAAAAAAAAACTAAAGCAGAGGAAGAGCAGAGGCTCTTACCTGAGAGGGTCACGTGCGCGCGGCCGGCCTCCAGCAGGGCCCCGTCGTCGTCGTATCCCACGACCAAGAAGTTCCAGTCTCCTGCGCCGCGCGAGGAAGCAGCACGGAGTAGCCGGACTTCGAGGGCGTCGCCGCGAGGCTTTCGCAGTCGGCGTCCGTGGCGACGTCGCTACTGAAGGTCACGAGGTCGGCGCGGGTCACGGTGTTGTCGCTCGCCACCTCGACGTCCATCCTGGCGTCGGCGTCGCGCGAGGTCAGGCGCTCGACCCGGGACGCCGGGGGAGGCGGGCCTGCGGGAGCGGGGTTTGAGTCGCATGCGACTTGCGCCTTTATGTGTTTTACAAAGCAAAAAGTAACAGTAAAAAGTAAAAGGCGACGATCAAAAATAGGAGCAGAAGCGCTCGAGAATTAATAACTAGCACGGGAACCGAAGCATCATCTAAAGTCAATGTGTCGCTATTTACAAAGACTAAGCAGCAGTGATAAACTAATACCTGATGTAGCCTCATAGATGGCGTTGGACCCCTTCCTGACGGTCACCGCGGGGGGCGCGTCCACCCCAGCGAACCAGACGCGACACGGTGACCCAGCTTGGCACTCCAGAGTGGCCGCGGGAGGGGGCGAGGGCCGGCCAGCGTGACCTCGTACGCGCCCCCCGATCGAGGGTCGACCGCCACCTGCAGGACGTCCTGGAAGAGCGAGAGCGCGGCCACGCCGTGCACTGCGGGCGCGAGGAGGCGCTCGTTAGCTGGCCCTTGAGTCAAGGACGGGAAGGACACGAAGGACCTCTCCTCTTTGCGAGAAAGAAGGCCTTGTGTCTCCGCCTTTTAAACACATATATTACTTAATTATTTATCTATCATTATTACTAGTTTTCTTTTCTTTTGTGGTTTATGACAACGGTGGATATATCTGTAAATGACGGTCAGCCTACCTCGAGGACAGTATTAAGGAACAAACTCACAAGCCAAATTACCATCAAACTCTTATCATTCAAATGTATGATAAAACTGTAGCTTCACTTCGTGCAGATTCCTGCCACTAATAAAGTGTTTTAAATTCTATTTCAGTTCACTCATTTTTGGAAAAAGTAAGGCTAACGGTAATAACCATTATGATACTAGTACTTATGATAATAATAAGGAAAGTAATGATAACAAATGAGAGTGAAAAGCCTTAACAGCACCACAAGCACCTTCAAAGGGCACGGCGAGCGACGCCGTGACGTAGCCTTCGTCGTCCAGCACGACGAGCGTCACGTCGAAGCCGTCCAGGTCGTCGGCGACGGCCACAGGGTGCGCGCACGTCCCGTCGCCCAGGTCGTCGCAGCCGAAGCCGTCGGGAGACAGGATGGAGTCGTCCCGCGCGCTGGAGACCACGACCTCAGTCCACGCTCCGTCGGGCCGGGGCTGCTGCACTCGCAGCTCCTGCCGGTTGCGGAGCTCCAGGGCCGGGACCTCGGCCGGGTTCTGGGGGAGGGGGCGTGAAAAAAATAGGCAGGAGTCTGGAGATTGTCGTTTTTCTTCTCTTATTTTGGGTGTACATATTCCACTTGTATTATATTAGCCAATTTTAAAAATGTATAGATAAGGTTGGTATGGAAATATTAGGTATTTCTGGGCAGAAAAGGGAACTTCTTTAAGACCAAATTAAACCTAGACAAATTTCCTTTGTCGTAATAGCAGTATAGATTTTATTTCGTTTTCCACAGGATGAGAACGCCCCTTTGGAGTAAAGGAATGTAAAGTAGAGGAATGGGAGAAATGTGAATACAACACAGACATGTACGGACGGGTCATCGCCACGCTAAACAGAAAAACAGGAAGAAAACGGGAGAGCTGCCGAGGCCACGGCGCCTTCCCTCCCAGCCCCGCTGCCGAGGCCACGGCGCCCTCCCTCCCAGCCCCGCTGCGAGGCCACGGCGCCCTCCCTCCCAGCCCCGCTGCCGAGGCCACGGCGCCTTCCCTCCCAGCCCCGCTGCCGAGGCCACGGCGCCCTCCCTCCCAGCCCCGCTGCCGAGGCCACGGCGCCTTCCCTCCCAGCCCCGCTGCCGAGGCACGGCGCGCTGCCGAGGCCACGGCGCCCTCCCTCCCAGCCCCGCTGCGAGGCCACGGCGCCTTCCCTCCCAGCCCCGCTGCCGAGGCCACGGCGCCGCTCACGGCGCCTTCCCTCCCAGCCCCGCTGCCGAGGCCAGCCCTTCCCTCCCAACCCCGCTGCCGAGGCCACGGCGCCCTCCCTCCCAGCCCCGCTGCCGAGGCCACGGCGCCTTCCTCCCAGCCCCGCTGCCGAGGCCACGGCGCCTCCCTCCCAGCCCCGCTTCAACGGCGCCTTCCTCCCAGCCCCGCTGCCGAGGCCACGGCGCCCTCCCTCCCAGCCCCGCTGCCGAAGCCACGGCGCCCTCCCTCCCCCCCGCTCGAGCCCCGCTGCCACGGCGCCTTCCCTCCCGCCCCGCTTCCCTCCAGCCCCGCTGCCGGCCACGGCGCCTTCCCTCCCAGCCCCGCTGCCGAGGCCACGGCGCCTTCCCTCCAGCCCCGCTGCCGAGGCCACGGCGCCTTCCCTCCAGCCCCGCTGCGGCCACGGCGCCTTCCCTCCCAGCCCCGCTGCGAGGCCACGGCGCCCGCTTCCCTCCCACCCACGCGGCTTCCCTCCCAGCCCCGCTGCGAGGCCACGGCGCCTTCCCTCCCAGCCCCGCTGCGAGGCCACGGCGCCCTCCCTCCCAGCCCCGCTGCCGAGGCCACGGCGCCTTCCCTCCCAGCCCCGCTGCCGAGCAACAGGACCGCGGCGCCGAGCGGAGAGCCCGCCACTCACTCTGCACTTCCGACACCACGGCGTCGCAGAATCTGATCTCGGGAAGGTCCTCGCAGAGGGGAGGCGGGGGGTCGCTCTGGCCGACGTAGTAGCAAGGGCCAGAGCCTCTTACGCAGGGAGGCTTCCCAGGGACTTCCACCTGGCCTCGCGCCCCTGGGTCCACCCTCAGGGACGGGGCGCTGGCGTCCCCAACCTTCGCCACCCTGGAACCCGGGTCTGTGAGGGAAGGGAAGAGATTCGGGGATAGATACAGAGGAATGTAATTTTCGTTTATTTATTTCCACTTTGGTCTTCTTTTTTTCAGGTGACCCATTTGATTCCTTGCAGTAAACTTATTTTTGCAGCAGCTTTAAGAGCAGTTTGCGTTTACATGACCACGTGAACAAGCTGGAAAATGAATTCCTACGCAGCATTAGAACTCTTCCAAGAGACACTTCCTCACCTGTCATCTCCTGCGTCACGGAGCCAAATCCCACAGTAACACCGCCTTTCATAGCTTTTATAAAGACCTGAATCGAATCTTTGAAATTCCCTTCGAACTCAAGCTCTGTGGCATCTTCATCAATGATTTTAGAAAGGTGATGAATTTCCTGAAACCCGTTGGATCCCACAATTAGTTCAAGCTGGAAATCGTCTGCCTCTATTGCTTCATGAGGATCCAAGAAAACCCTCATGTTTTGTCGTCTTCCGCTCGGGTCGTCTTCCCTGGACACCTTCTGGAGCTCCTTGATGGTGAGATGAACTAGTGCTGCATGTGGCTTCATTTCTGGAAAATAAAATACTGTTCATACATACACATACCTATACACACTTTTTTCATATATTGCTGGAATAAAGGAAAGGGATCTTTTTATCGACACCGTATCATTAGTTTCATTTCTTGAAGGTTGTTACAACCCCAATGACAAGAAAAAGGAAGGCAGAGGTTTGTTAAAGTGATAAAGTATCTATCTGCTCACTTATCATTATTGTTATTGTCATTATTACCATCATGGATGAGGGAGGTTGCTCGGGAGGGGCAGTGTTGCCATTTCCGCTAACTCTAGCGAATTTGAATGTAATTTGACGGGGAAAATTAAGAAATTCGCAAGAGTAACCGATTTTTTCTTGTTAAATCAATTGGGAGTTTTAGGGGCTATAATGCAGAATTTTTAGGTAAGCTTAGCGGATTCTTTAAAGAAAAAAAGAAAGAAAAAAGGATTAGAAACAACATGGTAACATAGAGAGTTAAACTTGAATTAAATGTATTATTTGAAAATATATAGCAAATGAAAAACGGAGAAAGTGAAGTGGTATGTAAGACAACCACAATTTGCGAAGATGGAAACTCACCCGAAACGGAGAGCTCAGCGTCTCCAGACAGCAGAATTTCCTGGGTGTCGAGATTCTCACGTGACACAAGAACCCGGACCTTGTCACTAAGGTTGAAGTCAAGGTTGAGAGGCAATGGGCCTAGACACAGCTTTTCCTCGACATCAGAAACGGATGTGTGAGAGGACTTCGACACCATCTGCCGACCATTAGCATCCACCGCCACGAACTTGTTCACCATCTTTCCTCCTTCGTTTTGTTTTTTCTTTGCATGATTCTCCGTAAAACACACGTTAAGACCTCTTGTTTCCTCGGTTGTGGTCAGTGTCAGTTCTGTTATGTTTATTGCTGTGTGACGTTGGAAGAAAGACAAGACACCACATAGAGATTACGTTACTGGATGCATGTACACTATGCTATTCCACAAAGATCAGTTATATTGGACATTAAGCACAATTATAAGAAAAATACAGCGTGGGAATTGGTCTTAAGAAAATATACACTCGTTTAGAGATGGAAAAAAAGGAATATAGAGTGTGACAATTGGTGATACAAAGAGCTACAAAGTACTAAGCACACTTACTTTCCAGAACAGGCTGCATCCTCACTGAGGCCGAAACATATTTATTGTCACCTTGTGCTCTCACACTTGCTGTATAATCTTCATTCAAATTCAGCGTGAAAAAGTAAGCCAGGCACATTTTGCTGTCTTCAGGCTCTTCACCTCCACAGATCACTGAAGTCTTGTTGAATTTGACTTCAATTTCAGGACCGATTTCGACGTCGTATTCCTGATTTTGCGAAGCTCGCCAACGGACTTCGATGGCGTCCGATGTCAGCTGTTGAATTCGAGTCTGGAAATCTGTAATATTTGTGGTTTTGGGGCAGTGATAATTTTTAGATTGTAGAATCATCTTAAACTGCATTCAACCGTTTATATACGAATTTATGTTCTCAGCCAAAATTAAAGAAAATAAGGTCCCTTTACAAAAGAAACTATAGAAAAATAATCACCTTCAAATTCCACAACGGTCGAGTCTTTCACAGTTGATTCGGAATCTAACGCCATCAGCAAAATCTTAAATTCCGTACTTTTGGCTCAACCTTAAATCTGCAGGTCTTTGGAGACCGGCCTGTGATCTCACAGGTTAGCGGATTCGGTGTCAGATCCTCAGAGTTTGTGTAGAGTTTCGCTTCCATTGTGAGCGACGTTTCGGAGAATTCAGCGGTGATCATCAGGTCCTCCTCAGGCACTCCGGTGAAACTGAGTTGAACCGATCGCTCGATCAGAGCTGTGAGAGGGGGAAAATTGTTGTTCAAACATCTTATCTATGGTCATATCAATTTTCTAAGGTTACAGCGGCAATGCTTAGTATTAGATTGTACTCCTCCCATGTGGCTTTTGCGTTTCCTTACCAACGTGGCTACATTTTGGTTCTTGGCGTAAACCTACACTCTGGCTGTATGTATGCTGCCGTCATGTCACACTGCTCGATATTCGGGCGGCCATCCTGCAGACTTCGGGAGGCTCCAGATGTTTTCTGGCTCCAAATAGTAGCAGACTGTGCTGGCTGGACACAGGAAGCCGTTCACTTTGACATCCATTTCTCCCGTCTCCACTTTGAGGGACTGGAGGGCCTCTGTCCCCACTTTCGTCATCCGAGGGAGCAATATATCTGGAGGAAGATGGGAAGGAATGTGTCTTATGATGCTTGTGTTAGCCATGTCTCAATCATGATAGTAAGGAGCGCACTGACAAACAAAGATCAAGTAATGTTGAAAACAATAATAATCATATCATTTTCAAAGCAATCTTGATCATTAACAATGCGTTCATCTTTATAGTCGTCTTATCCCGCTCACCATCACCATCTATGGCAAGAGAATCATCTGTGTAAAAAAAATCACATCTTTCCCGAAGGCCAGTATGAATAACAACACATGCTTGTGTTTAAGACTTTAGCATTACAGGTTTTGTGATCCAGAGGTGAACAAATTACATCTCAAAACCCAAGATAGAGGTGCGCGTGCCAATCGTACCAAAAAATGATACATTATTCCTTTACCATAATTAATTTAATTTGTTTAATCTTTGATTGTTGTACAGAATGGATGAATGGCTATTTATAACATCCTATAGAGCAAAGAGCCACACATGAGTATTTTTTTTTATGAGATGGAAGCTTCATATAGGAAACTGTTATAGACTAATGGATTTTTTGCCGCTAAAGCCATTGATTATGTGATTAGTATTGATTTCCATTAAAATACCTCACCTTTTCCTCGTAGCCTTGTTAACGAGTGGCATGCCATTGCAGACGTCAAACAAGTGAAAGAGTGCACAGTTCCTAAACCAGAAAGAGCAGAGGCCCTTACCTAAGAGGGTCACGTGCGCGCGGCCGGCCTCCAGCAGGGCCCCGTCGTCGTCGTATCCCACGACCAAGAAGTTCCAGTCTCCTGCGCCGCGCGAGGAAACAGCCACGGAGTAGCCGGACCCCGAGGACGTCGCTTCGAGGCTTTCGCAGTCGGCGTCCGTGGCGACGTCGCTACTGAAGGTCACGAGGTCGGCGCGGGTCACGTGTTTGTCGCTCGCCACCTCGACGTCCATCTTGGCGCCACGTGAAGTGAGGCGCTGGACCCGGGACGCCGGGGGAGGCGGGTCTGCGGAGTGGGGTGAGTCGCTGGTTTTTGGACGGCATGTGTGACATGCACTTGCACCTTCATGGCTTATACAACGGCAAGGGTAAAGGCTCTAAGGGCGACGATCAAAAATAGGACCAGCAGCGCGCTCGAGAATGACTAAATAGCACGGAAACTGAAGCGTCATCTAAGGTCAATAAGAGTCGCTTATTACAGAAACTAAGCAGTTTGAGTAATGAGCTGTAATACCTGTGGATATATCCTCATAGATGGCGTTGGATCCCTTCCTGACGCTCACGCGGGGGCGCGTCCACCCAGCGAACAGACGCGACACGGTGATCCAAGTTGGCACTCCTGAGCGGCCGCGGGAGGGGCGAGGGGCCGGCCAGCGTGACCTCGTATGCGCCCCCCGATCGAGGGTCGACCGCCACCTGCAGGACATCCTGGGAGAGCGAGAGCGTGGCCACGCCGTGCACTGCGGGCGTGAGGAGGCGCTCGTTAGCTGTTCCTTGAGTCCGGGACGCGAAGGACACGAAGGACCTCTCCTCTTCGCGAGAAAGAAGGCCTTGTGTCTCTCCGCATTCCGCCTTTTGACACAGACATCTGATGTTTGATCCTTTGTTTATCTGTTATGACTACTAGATTCTTTTTCTTATTACGGTCTCCTAAACCGGTTTTAGCGTATTTTCCTGTTGCTGATGACATAAGGATACTAGCAAATAAGATGGAAAAGCCTTAACAGCACCACAAGCACCTTCAAAGGGCACGGCGAGCGACGCCGTGACGTAGCCTTGGTCGTCCAGAACGACGAGCGTCACGTCGAAGCCGTCCAGGTCGTCGGCGACGGCCACAGGGTGCGCGCACGTCCCGTCGCCCAGGTCGTCGCAGCCGAAGCCGTCGGGAGGCAGGATGGAGTCGTCGCTGGAGACCACGACCTCAGTCCGCGCTCCGTCGGGCCGGGGCTGCTGCACTCGCAGCTCCTGCCGGTTGCGGAGCTCCAGGGCCGGGACCTCGTCGGGTCTGGGGAGGGGGGGCGTGAATACGAGGACAGGAGTCTGGCAGAACGTTGGAAGGAAATCAAGACAACTTGCTCAATTACCATAGGCAAGAGTATAGTTCATACTGTGTAACAATTTATAAAAAGAATGAGATTTTCATATCTCATTGCATTAGCCAGTTTTATATGGAAAAGGTTGTATGGAATTTTTTTCTATTTCTGGGCAGTAAAGACACTTCTTTAAACCTAGACAAATTTCTTTTGTTGTAATAATAAACATTATAGATTTTATTTCGTTTTCCGCAGGACGAGAACGCCACCTTGGAATAAAGGAATGTAAAGTATGCTGCAGGGATGGGAGAGAAATGCGAATACAACACAGACATGTACGGACGGGTCATCGCCACGCTAAACAGAAAAACAGGAAGAAAACGGGAGAGCTGCCGAGGCCACGCTCGCCTCCCTCCCAGCCCCGATGCCCAGCAACAGGACGCGAGCGGCGCCGAGCGGAGAGCCCGCCACTCACTCTGCGCTTCCGACACCACGGCGTCGCAGAATCTGATCTCGGGAAGGTCCTCGCAGAGGGGGGACGGTGGGTCGCTCTGGCCGACGTAGTAGCAAGGGCCAGAGCCTCCCACGCAGGGAGGCTTCCCAGGGACTTCCACCTGGCCTCGCGCCCCTGGGTCCACCCTCAGTGACGGGGCGCTGGCGTCCCCAACCTTCGCCACCCTGGAACCCAGGTCTGTGAGGGAAGGGAAAAGATTCGGGGATAGATGCATAGGAATGTAATTTTCGTTTATTTATTTCCACTTTGGTCTTCTTTTTTCAGGTGACCCATTTGATTCCTTGCAGTAAACTTATTTTTACAGCAGCTTTAAGAGCAGTTTGCGTTTACATGACCACGTGAACAAGCCGGAAATTTCCTAGGACTCTTCCAAAGGGCATTTCCTCACCTGTCAATTCCTGCGCCACGGAGCCAAATCCCACAGTAGCCCCGCCTTTCATAGCATTTATAATGACACCCGTCGAATCTTGGAAATTTCCCTTGAACTCAATCTCTGTGGCATCTCCATCGATGATTTTATAAAGGAGATGAGCTTCCTGTCCCGTGCCTGATGCCAGAATTAAAGAAAGCTGAAAGTCGTCTGCATCTTTTGCTTCGTGAGGATCCAAGAAAACCCTCATGTTTTGTTGTCTTCCGCTCGGGTCGTCTTCCCTGGACACCTTCTGGAGCTCCTTGATGGTGAGAGGAACTACTACACGTGGCTTCATTTCTGAAAAATAAAATACTGTTCATACATACATATACCTATACACACTTTTTTCATATATGGCTGGAATAAAGGAAAGGGATCTTCTTATCGACACCGTATCATTAGATCCATTTCTTGAAGGTTGTTACAACCCCAATGACAAGAAAAAGGAAGGCAGAGCTTTGTTAAAGCGATAATGTATCTATCTGCTCACTCATTATTGCTCATTATTGTTATTGTCATTATTACCACCATGGATGACGGAGGTTGGTCGGGAGGGGCAGTGTTGCCATTTCCGCTAACTCTAGCGAATTTGAATGTAATTTGACGGGGGAAATTAAGAAATTCGCAAGAGTAACGCGATTTTCTCTTGTTAAATCTATTGGGAGTTTTAGGGGCTATAATGCAGAATTTTAGGTAAGCTTAGTGGATTCTTAAACAAAAAAAAAAAAAAATAGAAACAACATGGTAGAATAGAGAGTTAAACTTGAATTAAATGTATTATTTGAAAATATATAGCAAATGAAAAAACGGAATAAGTGAAGTGTATCGTACGTGGTACGTAAGACAACAACAATTAGCGAAGATGGAAACTCACCTGAAAGTAAGACAAGACAAGACCACCACATAGAGATTACGTTACTGGATGCATGTATACTATGCTATTCCACAAAGACCAGTTATATTGGATATTTTTTTCATAGTATCCAAATCAAACATTAAGCACAATAATGAGAAAAATACAGCATGGGAATTGGTCTTAATATACTCTCGTTTAGAGATGGAAAAAAAGGAATATAGAGTAAGTGACAATTGATGATACAAAAAGCTACAAGGTACTAAGCGCACTTACTTTCCAGAACAGTCTGCATCCTCACTGAGGCCGAAACATATTTATTGTCACCTTGTGCCCTCACACTTGCCGTATAATCTTCGTTCAAATTCAGCCCGATAAAGTAAGCCAGGCACATTTTACTGTCTTCAGGGTTTTCACCTCCACAGATCACAGAAGTGTTGCTGAATTTGCCTTCAATTTCAGGAGCGATTTCGACGTCGTATTTCTGGTTGTGCGAAGCTCGCCAACGGACTTCGATGGCGTCCGATGTCAGCTGTTGAATTCGAGTCTGGAAATCTGGAAGGTATATGTTGTTGTTTTTTCTTTTTGTATGTGTTTTTGTGACCTGATACTACCTCTAAGCGATTGTATATGAATTTATGTTAACGTCCAAAATGAAAGAAAATATGGTCACTTTACATAAATTGAAGAAAAATAATCACCTTCAAATTCCACAACAGTCGATTCATCCACAGTTGATGCAGAATCTAACGCCATCAGCAAAATCTTAAATTCCGTCACTTTTGGCTCAACCTTAAATGTGCAGGTCTTTGGAGACCGGCCTGTGATCTCACAGGTTAGCGGATTCGGTGTCAGATCCTCCGAGCTTGTGTAGAGTTTCGCTTCCATTGTGAGCGACGTTTCGGAGAAGTCAGCGGTGATCATCAGGTCCTCCTCAGGCACTCCGGTGAAACTGAGTTGAACCGACCGCTCGATCAGAGCTGTGAGAGGGGGAAAATTGTTGTTCAAACATCTTATCTATGGTCATATCAATTTTCTAAGGTTACAGCGGCAATGCTTAGTGTTATATTGTACTCCTCCCATGTGGCTTTTGCGTTTCCCTTACCAACATGGTTACATTTTGGTTCTTGGCGTAAACCTACACTCTGGCTGTATGTATGCTGCCGTCATGTCACACTGCTCGATATTCGGGGCGGCCATCCTGCAGACTTCGGGAGGCTCCAGGATGTTTTCTGGCTCCAAATCGTAGCAGACTTTGCTGGCTGGACACAGGAAGCCGTTCACTTTGACATCCATTTCTCCCGTCTCCACTTTGAGGGACTGGAGGGCCTCTGTCCCCACTTTCGTCATCCGAGGGAGCAATATATCTGGAAGAAGATGGGAAGGAATGTGTCTTATGATGCTTGTGTTAGCCATGTCTCAATCATGATAGTAAGGAGCGCATTGACAAACAAAGATCAAGTAATGTTGAAAACAATAATAATCATATCATTTTCAAAGCAATCTTGATCATTAACAATGCGTTCATCTTTATAGTCGTCTTATCCCGCTCACCATCACCATCTATGGCAAGAGAATCATCTGTGTAAAAAAATCACGTCTTTCCCGAAGGCCAGTATGAATAACAACACATGCTTGTGTTTAAGACTTTAGCATTACAGGTTTTGTGATCCAGAGGTGAACAAATTACATCTCAAAACCCAAGATAGAGGTGCGCGTGCCAATCGTACCAAAAAATGATACATTATTCCTTTACCATAATTAATTTAATTTGTTTAATCTTTGATTGTTGTACAGAATGGATGAATGGCTATTTCTAACATCCTATGGAGCAAAGAGCCACACATGAGTATTTTTTTTTTATGAGATGGAAGCTTCATATAGGAAACTGATAAAGACTAATGGATTTTTTGCCGCTAAAGCCATTGATTATGTGATTAGTATTGATTTCCATTAAAATACCTCACCTTTTCCTCATAGCATGCGTTAGTGGTGGCACTGCAGACGGCAAACGAGCGAAAGAGTGCCACGTAAAACCACAGTTCCTAAACCAGAGGAAGAGCAGAGGCCCTTACCTGAGAGGGTCACGTGCGCGCGGCCGGCCTCCAGCAGGGCCCCGTCGTCGTCGTATCCCACGACCAAGAAGTTCCAGTCTCCTGCGCCGCGCGAGGAAGCAGCCACGGAGTAGCCGGACCCCGAGGACCTCGCTTCGAGGCTTTCGCAGTCGGCGTCCGTGGCGACGTCGCTACTGAAGGTCACGAGGTCGGCGCGGGTCACGTGTTTGTCGCTCGCCACCTCGACGTCCATCTTGGCGCCACGTGAAGTGAGGCGCTGGACCCGGGACGCCGGGGGAGGCGGGTCTGCGGGAGTGGGGTTTGAGTCGCTGGTTTTTGGACGGCATGTGACACGCTCCTTCGACGTGCACTTGCACCTTCATGGCTTATACAACGGCAAGGGTAAAGGCTCTAAGGGCGACGATCAAAAATAGGACCAGCAGCGCTCGAGAATGACTAAATAGCACGGAAACCGAAGCGTCATCTAAGGTCAATAAGAGTCGCTTTTTACAGAAACTAAGCAGTTTGAGTAATGAGCTGTAATACCTGTGGATATATACTCATAGATGGCGTTGGATCCCTTCCTGACGCTCACCGCGGGGGCGCGTCCACCCCAGCGAACCAGACACGACACGGCGACCCAAGCTGGCACTCCTGAGCGGCCGCGGGAGGGGGCGAGGGGCCGGCCAGCGTGATCTCGTACGCGCCCCCGATCGAGGGTCGACCGCCACCTGCAGGACGTCCTGGGAGAGCGAGAGCGCGGCCACGCCGTGCACTGCGGGCGCGAGGAGGCGCTCGTTAGCTGGCCCTTGAGTCAGGGACGGGAAGGACACGAAGGACCTCTCCTCTTCGCGAGAAAGAAGGCCTTGTGTCTCTCCGCATTCCGCCTTTTAACGCATTTGTTTATCTGTTATGACTACTAGATTCTTTTTTCTTTTTACGGTCTCCTGAACCGGTTTTAGCATATTTCCTGTTGCTGATGACAATAAGGATACTAACAAATAAGATGGAAAAGCCTTAACAGCACTACAAGCACCTTCAAAGGGCACGGCGAGCGACGCCGTGACGTAGCCTTCGTCGTCCAGCACGACGAGCGTCACGTCGAAGCCGTCCAGGTCGTCGGCGACGGCCACAGGGTGCGCGCACGTCCCGTCGCCAGGTCGTCGCAGCCGAAGCCGTCGGGAGGCAGGATGGAGTCGTCGCTGGAGACCACGACCTCAGTCCACGCTCCGTCGGGCCGGGGCTGCTGCACTCGCAGCTCCTGCCGGTTGCGGAGCTCCAGGGCCGGGACCTCGGCCGGGTCTGGGGGGAGGGGGGCGTGAATACGAGGGACAGGAGTCTGGCAGAACGTTGGAAGGAAATCAAGACAACTTGCTCAATTACCATAGGCAAGAGTATAGCTCATACTGTGTAACATTTATAAAAAGAATGAGATTTTCATATCTCATTGCATTAGCCAGTTTTATATGGAAAAGGTTGTATGGATTTTTTTTCTATTTCTGGGCAGTAAAGACACTTCTTTAAACCTAGACAAATTTCTTTTGTTGTAATAATAAACATTATAGATTTTATTTCGTTTTCCGCAGGACGAGAACGCCACCTTGGAATAAAGGAATGTAAAGTATGCTGAC